GAGAAAGCAAATTTTGTGATTTATCACTTTTCTAGTTGATAGAATTGAACATGCTCGATATGTATTTATACTAATAACTTACTAACATAATTTAAAGTTCTGTATTATTGTGATTATCATATGGAAAACCAGGAACTGATCAGAAGTGAGAGTCTTTTCCACATCTGGTTAATATAGTGAGATTGACACCCTGTGGGTGGTAAAGCATTATAAATATTCATCTTGAACCATGACTTTTACATGTTTGTGTTGTGAGGCTTGAGTGCATATTACCAGGGAAGAGAAATTCAGCATTTATCTATTTGATAAGGAAGTGAATGTCCCAGTGATTATAAAGTAAAACCACTTTGGGAATGATCTTTAATTTTTAGCATTTTCTCTAAGATTAATAATTCCTTTACCTTTTTAAAATAAAAGTGTGTACACATATGACAGTGTTTATCCTCTGCTTAATGTAATGCAAAATATTTGAAGTTCATTGTATTTTTTCAATGAAGAAAGACTGTTGAACTAACGATTTAAGATACATTAAGAATTAATGTCTTGTCTAGAAACATTAAACTGAGAATCCCTTGCTAAGATATCACCATCTTTGATAACTGGAGTGCTAAGTTGAATGTCAAATAATACTTCTACTTCTATACCTGTTTCTACACTATCTGGCCCTATGGGGTGGCTTTTAGGCCACAATATTATCTGTGTTAGGTTCTCTGTATGTGTATTTAATGAATAACATTCCTATGTAAAAATGTATGTGGTTTTATGCATACATTCATATTGTGAACCTATACATTGCAAAGAAGTAAGTTTTTAAAGCACAACCATAAAAGAAAATAGTGTGCAGTTATTAAACTTGATGTATCTTAAATGTAATTTTTAGTTTGTAAAAGGTTCTTTCTATTTTCTATGGCAAAGACTTTGACACTTAAAAAATAGAAGTGATACTGGATTTATTTTTGTTAAGTATTTAAGATATTATTTTAAATAAATGATTGTCCAATATGATAGTTGTCAGATGTTTTAAGTAAATAAACTTTCTGATTCTGTGTCTGATAAGTATTTTTAGTGGGTACAAGTGCACATTTATTTGCTGCTTTAAGTAAAAAACTTTAATATTTAGACTGGTAAAGAAAAAAAAATTGCACTAATTCTAATTTTGCTTTTCATTTGAATTGTTTTGGTGAATGAGAAGATGTGTAAAAGTGATTTTTGATGTATCATTTTTGTCCCCAATTTGCATTATCATGGACTCTAGAATTTTTTGTTGTTGTTGCAAAATCTGATACTGTCGTTTAATATTCATTCTTCTCTTCTTCTTTAGTCACAGAGCCCCATACTTTAGCTTGTTACATTTACCAAGGGGGATGCATGGGAAGGAGGTGTGGATTAGCTACTTGCCAAATTCCTTTGTGCAGCTTTCCAGGTGGGGCAGTGGGAAAGAATCTGCCTGTTAATGCAGGAGTGCTGGTTTGATCCCTGGATCAGGAAGATCTTCTGGAGGAGGAAAGGGCAACCCACTCCAGTCTTCTAGCCTGGGAAATTCTATGGACAGAGGAGCCTGTGGAGGGCTGCAGTCTGTGGGGTCACAAAGAGTCGGATGGGACTTAGCACAGCACAGCAGATTACCTTGTAAAACTGGGTGGGCCATTTAACTACGTTCTGGCCAAAGAGATGTGAATAATAGTCATGGGTGCCTAGTAAAAGAAAGGGCGCCCTTTCCCTAGTTCTTCCCCCTCCACTCCTTATCTCGAATGCCATGTGCCTGAGGGACAGTGCAGATTAAGAACATTTCCATCATCAAAGAAAATCCTATTGGACAGTTCTACTCCAGATATCTCTGGCTTCCCTGGTACCTCAGTTGGTAAAGAATCTGCCTGCAACGTGGAAGACCCCGGTTTGATTCCTGGGTCGGGAAGATTCCCTGGAGGAGGGTATGGAAACCCACACCAGTGTTCTTGCCTGGAGAATCCCCATGGACAGAGGTGCCTGGCGGGCTACAGTCTGTGGGTTTCAGAGTCAGACATGAGTGAGCAACTAAACACAGTGGAGCAGCACAGGAGGAGAGAGAAAGGGGAGGAAAGTTTATTCAAAGAAAGAATAGCTGAAAACTTCACACAGCTGGGAGAAGAAACCGCCATTCAGGTCCATGAATCCTAAAGGATACCAAATAAAATAAGCCCCACACCAAGACACATTATCATCAAATTATTAAAAGGTTAAGCACAGAATTTTGAAACAAAAGAGAAAGTGACTTGTTACGTAGAAGGGAAGCCCCATGAAACTATAAGCAGATTTTTCATCAGAAATCTTGTCCTCCAGAAGGGAGTGTGATAATATATTTAAAATGCTGCACGGGGTGGGGTGGGGGTGGGGGGGTGACGGGAACCTGCTAGCCAAGAATACTATATCTGACAAAGCTGTCCTTCAAAAATAAAGAGGAAACAAAAGACTTTCTCAGATAAAAGCTGAAGGATATTAAACAACATAAGAGCATAGGAAATTATGAAACTCATTGATAAATGTAAATATATAGACAAAAACAGAATTCCATATTACTGTTACAGTGGTGGGAAATCATTGTTCATTCTAGTATAAAAGATTAATTAATGGATACACAATATAAACAGATGTAAGTTGTGACATTACCATATAATGGGGCAGGAGAGAAAAAAGCTTTGTTTGAAAGTGAAGCTGTTATCATCTTAAATAGACTGTTACAACTATATTTTCTGTAAGCCCCATGGTAACCACCATGTACACCACACCCTATCCTGGGACCAATCTGTCCCTGACCCTTGGGTGATGAAAGGGGAGGGCTCTGCTCAGATGCATAGGACATCTCTTACAGAGGGTCACATCTCCAAGATTGAAAAGCATAACAAACCTACCACATACAAATAAAAACTAAAGTGGTGGCAGGGGAATACATATGGGACAAAGGAACAAGATAAAATCACAGAAGAACCAAGTGATGTAGAGACAGGCAGCCTACCTGAGAAAAAGTTCAGAGTAATGAGCGTAAAGGTGATCAAAGAACTCAGGAAGAGAATGTATGCACATTCTCACATTCAGAGTGAGAACTTAGAGATTTAAAAAATACTTAGAAAATATAAAGAACAAAAAAGCAGAGTTGAAGAATATAATAACTGAAGTGAAAAATAACACTACAAGGAATGAATAGTTGGCCAGATGATGCTAAAGAATGGATCAGTGAGCTGTAAGACAGAGTAGTGGAAATCACTGCTATGGAACAGAATAAAGAGCAATTTAAGAGACCTCTGGGACAACATCAACTGTAATATTCACATTATAGTGGTCCCATAAGGGTAACAGAAGAGAGAAAGAACCTCAGAAAATATTTTAAAAGATAATAACTGAAAATATTCCCTAGCCTGGGAAAGCAAACAGTCAACAAGTTCAGAAATTCCAGAGAGTCCTATACAGGGTTAACTCAAGGAGGAACACACACACACACACATTGTAATCAAAATTTAAAATTAAAAAAAAAGGGGGGGGGAATATTAAGAGCAACAGGGGGAAAAGCAACAAATAAAATACAAGGAAATTCCCATAAAATCATCAGTTGATTTTTCAGCAGAAACTACAGGTCAGAAGGGAGTGGCATGTTATATTTAAGGTGATGAGAGGGGAAAACCTGCAACCAAGGATACTCAGAAAGGCTCAGGTTCAGATTTAATGGAGAAATCAAAAGCAAAGTTTAAAAGAATTCAGCACCAAACTAACTTTACAGCAAATCCTAAAGGAACTTCTGTAGGCAGAATAAAAAGACAACAAATAGAAACAAAGTATGGTAAAGGCAAACAGAGTAAACGTCGGAAACTATCCAATCCTAAACTGGTGGGTAGGTTAAAAGACTAAGATAGTAAAAGAAAAAAAGTTCATGATTGGGCTTCCCTGGTAGCTCAGCTGGTAAAGAATCCGCCTGCAAAGCGGGAGACCTGAGTTCAATCCCTGGGTTGGGAAGATGCCCTGGAGAAACAAAAGGCTACCCACTCCGGTATTCTGGCCTGGAGAATTCCCTGGATTGCACAGTCCATGGGGTTGCAAAGATTTGGACACAACTGAGTGACCTTCACAAGGTAGTAAAATCACTTGCATCCACAAAAAGCAGTGTAGAGATACACAAGCAATTAGATGTAAAATATGATACAAAAACAGGAGGGGAAGAGAGTACAAATGCACGGTGTTTAAAATGCATTTGGAATTAAGAGATCAGCAAGCAATATATATGATTGCTCTAAGTTGATGATCTACAGCTATATCGATTGCTATACAAAAACTTTATGGTAATGTGTGTGTGTGTTAATCGCTCTGTCATGTCCGACTCTTTGTGACCCCACAGACTGTAGCCTGCCAGGCTCCTCTGTCCATGGATGGTAATGGCAAAGCAAAAATTTATCATAGATATACACATTTAAAAAAAGGTTCTTCCTATAACACACACTGCAAAATGCTCATCAATTGTGTTAAGGCTGGGACCACTTAATCAAAAGCTGACAATCAGTTTTCAAGAAAAGATCACACCCACCACATCATTAACCCAACATGGGGCTTGGGAATAAATACCCAAGAGGGGATTTAAGGTAAAGAGGCACATAAAAGACAGAAAACATTTCCACATTTGTTCCCCAAAGCTGCCTTCCAGGTTTAGTTTATTTTGGTCACCTTCCTCTTGGCTCTGGTGTCCAAGGCCAAGGCAGTGTTTCCTTGGGTAAACCAGAGAAATTGCTTCTCCATAGAACCCTGTTTGTCAACCAGGAATTTATCTGCCCTGCTGACTTACCGGGGGCCAGTCTAAGGGAGAAGCAGGATAAGCTTGCTCAGTGCTACCAAGTGTGAGGGCCTTTCTGGCCAAGGTCAGTAGCTGCCCCAGGGTCCAACTTCTAACTCTTAACACCATTTGGCACCACTTTGACCCAGGCCATCTCAACAGGCCAGAAGCAAGTCCTCGTCTAAGGAAGGACACAGAAGGAGGCAGATCAGAGCTGTGACTTTTATGATGTGCTTTATGATTTCCAAACCATTTAAAATCCATTCTTTCCTCTGATATTTACAGCAATTTTTCCTTTAGAGAGGGAATCATTGTCCACTTTAAATCTTCTGGATGAAAATGGAATCACTCACAATGTAACTTGTTTCTTCAAGGTCCCACTGGAGACAGTAAAGCTTGAAAGCAGTTTCCTCTGTGTCTGATTCCTATGATCTGTCCTAGAGGCACTGGATGCTGTTCCTTCACTTCTGAGCAGGCCCTGTGCCTTGAGGGGGGAAGGCCTATTCTTCTTGCTTTCTTTCACTCTCCCCACCCCAACAACTTCAGCCTCGAGGAACAGCACAGAGCCTGTGGCTGACTGGGGCAAGGGTCAAGCTAACCCTGAACTTCAGGCTCAAATTCTCATTCTCTGGCGGCCTAAAGGTAAAGTTTTGCAGAAGTGAGGTAAAAAAAATAAACAACTCAGTCCTGGCCAACTGTTCTCCAAGGCACATCCGCTTTCCTGAAAGACAAAAATATGAGTTACCTGTTTAGGTGGTCTGCGCCAGCAAGGACGGAAATCTTCCACCATGTCTTGCAGAACCTGAGCCAAGGGCAGGCCTGCCTGGCCCTGGGCCTCTATGTACTTAGCTTAGTTGATCACAACCACCTGGGTTAACAGAAGCCCTCCAAGCTCATTCCACAATCACACACTCAGTGCCTTCAGGGGTCAGACAGGTGAGCAAGGGTGAAGGTGCAGGGTACAGATGAAACAAGTGAGGGCCAAGGTTCACCTATAAATGTGGTAGCGCCAAAAGTCTTAGAAAAATCCATTAGCAAAGGGCAAAAGCAGACAAAAGCAAAACTCTGTGTTTATCTCTTTCAATTTTCAAAAAAATTGTTGAAAAGAAAAAGAAAGTATGTGTCAAAGCAGGTTTCTCAAGTATGAGGCACCTGTTCCCTGTGCCAAGTTTCCCTCCTTCATGACTGGCAACCTCCCTGCCAGGGCTCCCCGTGCAGGGCCAACCCCATCTCATCCCAGCTGTGCATCAGCTACTTCAGGCTTCCCCCAGCACCGCCCCCCAACCCGCTTCATGATGCCCTCTGCCCCGACTTGGGCTACAACACCCCACGCTGGTCTCTACCATCATCTCTCTTGGGAGTGTTTTAATAACTTACTTTCTCCCTAAGTAATACATGTTTAACTGCAAAAATGAAAAAAATAGTAAAAAGTATTAAGATATTAAAAGATGTTTGTAATCCCAAATCCAGAAAAAACCGTTGTTAACATTTGACACAGTTCCTCACTATCTCTGTAAAGATTCTCTTGCACACTGTCACTGACATACCCTCTGTAGTCAATTCTGGGTGTAACTTTTGCTACTTTGTATTTCCCAGTGCAATTACAGTTGTGCTTCTTTGAGCTCAGCTATAAGAATCAGCCTGCAAAGTAGGAGAGACAGGAGACATAAGTGATGCAAGTTCGACCTCTGGGTGGGGAAGGTCCCCTGGAGAAGAAAATGGCAGTCCACTGGAGTATTCTTGCCTGGGATATCCCATGGACAGAGGAGCCTGTCAGGTTACAGTCCATGGGGTCGCAAGAGTTGGACATGACTTAGTGATTAAATAAGTTGTTGAGGAAATAAGATTAGAGAATATCTGCAAATGTATTTAATAAATAAAAATATGCTTCAGAATTATGTAATTTTTATATAATTGTGCCTGTGTTTCTTACCACTACATGTCTAATAATCTCTGCTCCCCTCATTCTGATCTCTTACCCATTGCTAATAGAAAAGTGGGGAAATTGGCTAAAATTGCAGCTAATGAGGAAATTTGTTCAAACTGCCCCATAAGCTATTTTGGAAATACCCAGGATTCTCCTAGAAGAATCCAGGTATTGGGATAAAGTTGGACCCATAGAGTCAGGATGCAGGGTTACAGTATTTATTACATCAGTAACCAGCTCTGGGCTCTGAGTAAATAGATTATTCTCCCTGATCTAAACAGTTCTTTCTTGCCAAGCTTGTGAAATAATTTCTTTCTGAACTATACTGTATGGCTGGTCAATGATACCAGTAAAACAGGAAATATGAATTTGATTTATAAATCATGAAAAGGAGGGCTACCTTATTTCAAGGCTTCATCCTGGAAACGTGGACCTTCTCTTTGGTGCTTGCACTAACTGGAAATCACTGACTAATCAGGTCAGTTACCCCACTAGAGATGAGAGAATTGACCTAGAGTTTTTGAGAAGCATCTCTCTATCTTATCTCCATGATTCAGTGATGTTTTTGAAAATTGAGGACTCAGCCTCTTGCCTTTCATGAATATGCCTGCTGTTTTGTTGAATCAAAAGAGAAGAACTTAAATGAAGATAAGAAAATAAGTTTGCAATAATACCTTTGTCATCTGCCCTGACTGTTAGTGGCTCAGTTGTGTCCAACTCTTTGTGATCCCATGGACTGTAGCCCACCAGACTCCGCTGTCCAGGGGATTCTCCAGGCAAGAAAACTGGAGTGGGTCGCCATGCCCTTCTCCGGGAGATCTTCCCGACCCAGGGATCAAATCCAGGTCTACCACATTGAAGGTGGATTCTTTTCCATACGTGCCACCAGGGACTGTGTGTCTATCCTAATTCCACATCTGATCACCTTTCCAAGAGAAGGAAGGCAGCTCTCCACACCCCATTCCTTTTTAAAGAAGCTTTCTTAACAAAGTGCTGGATCAAGAATGAGGCAAAGAAATGGTGCCCCAAAGACAGGAGTATGCTGGGAGTAAACTTGACAGCAGTGTTGACGTTTTAAGTCAGTGGATTTTTCTAGTTTCTATTTCCTGTTCTGTTTAGCTAGCCTTCATTTAGTCACAGCTGAGGGAATCCCCAAATTGTTTGCTTTGTCTGAATCAGTCTTCTCGGGCAGAAAGACAGATAGATCACTTGATTGCAACACTGGCTCCAATCTCCGCCTTTTCCCTGAACCTACATCACTGGCAATGTGACTTCATGGCTCTTCCATAAAAACTGTGATAGTTTCCCTTTCCCTTGAACTGGGGCTCACAGTATGACCTGCATGGACACAGGAATGCAGTGGGAGTGATGGTCGCCAGTTCCCAGCCTGGCCCTTGGGAGGCACTGTGTGCTTTCTTCCCTCCTGCGGTCTTATCCTCCACATGTACACCAGCTAGGCTAGTCTGCTGGAGGAGGAAACTTGGGAAAGAGTCCCATTGTCCCAGCTGAGGTCATCCTAGATCAGCCTTCAGCCAACTGACCTCCCAAATGGGCAAGAGAGCCCAGCTAAGAAACATGAAGCCCTCAGCTCAACTGTAGACTTGTGAGCAATAATATACACTTATTGTTTTAAGTCACTGAGTTTTCTATCTTTGTAATGTTGCAACATAACAATAGATACATACGCTCTAAACTTGGTGAATCTTTAAATGGAATGGTCGTTAAGTAGGAAAATGAATAACGTTCTAATTATGTTAGCAAGAGCACTAGATTAGAACTTACTATATAACCAACAAGGACCTACTACAGAGCACAGGGAACTATGCTCAATATTTTATAATGGTGACTCCACTGGTAAAGCATCTGCCTGCAATGCGGGAGACCTGGGTTTGATCCCTGTGTCAGGAAGATCCCCTGGAGAAGGAAATGGCAACCCACCCCAGTACTCTTGCCTGGAAAATTCTATGGATGGAGGAGCCTGGTAGGCTACAGTCCATGGGGTCACAAAGAATCAGATATGACTGACCGACTTCACTCTCTTTATACAGGCAAAAAACCTAGAAAGCAAAGATGTATATATGTATGTATAGTGAATCAGTTTGCAGTACACCTGAAACTAATACAATATTGTAAATCAACTATACTTCAACAAAAATTTAAAAAGAGAAACCAGAAACTTGAGTTTTTGGCCCTTTTTTAAGCAGATTCCTCGGCCACATGACCTTGGATGAGGAAAAACTTTCTCTTAATTCTTACTTCCTTTCACTGAGAGAGGAGCTAGTAATTGCTTTCCCAACTTAATAGCTGAGTTGCTTTAAGTATAAAATAAAATAATTTGCTTGCAAATGAAATATGTAATTAAAAGGACGTGTTACAACTCTCAGTAACAACAACAATAAAACAGTGAAGCAAGAATAAGTATAATAGTTAAAAGAAAACAGCTGAAACTTGTACTATGATAGGAAATATAAAGCTTTGCACACAGGAAGACTGGAAGGTTTTCCTACATCGTGTCTGTTTTCATATTAGAAAGTTACTTGTCCAGCGTGAGCAAAGGTAGCATAGAACCAGAGGAAGAAAGACACAAAGAGACACAGATGTACAGAACAGAATTTTGGACTCTGTGGGAGAAGGTGAGGGTGGGATGTTTCGAGAGGACAGCATCAAAACATGTATATTATCTAGGGTGAAACAGATCACCAGCCCAGGTTGGATGCATGAGACAAGTGCTCGGGCCTGGTGCACTGGGAAGGCCCAGAGGGATGGGGTGGAGAGGGAAGTGGGAGAGGGGATCGTGATGGGGAATACATGTAAATCCATGGCTGATTCATGTCAATGTATGACAAAACCCACTACAATATTGTAAAGTAGTTAGCCTCCAACTAATAAAAATAAATGAAAAAACAACAACAGAAAAAGAAAGACACAGAAGATCTAATCAGACTGAGTTCAGATACATGCAGGACAGTGTTCTAAAGCAGGAAAGCCTGGGCTGTGAATCACTCCTACATGGGTTCAAATTCCAGTCCCTCCCTTTCTGTGCCTTTGTGGCACAATCAGCAAAACTATACTGTTATAGAAAGTCAGTCTATATTTAATTTAACTTAATGATAAGAAAAGGAGAAGGAAATGGCAACCCACTCCAGTATTCTTGCCTGGAGAATCACATGGACAGAGGAGCCTTGTGGGCTGCAGTCCATAGGGTCGCACAGAGTCGGACACGACTGAAGTGACTTAGCATGCATGCCTGCATGCATGCATTGGAGAAGGAAATGGCAACCCACTCCAGTATTCTTGCCTGGAGAATCCCAGGGACAGAGGAGCCTAGTAGGCTGCCATCTATGGGGACACAGAGAGTTGGACACGACTGAAGTGACTTAGCAGCAGCAGGAGCAATGATAAGAAAACTATTATGAATTTCAAGTGTCAACTTACTGTAGCATTTAGTTACTTTTTTGGGGAGATACTGCTAGGAACAGCACAGGCTTTTGTATTTGATAAACCTGGTCAACCCTGAGTTCTAGTTGTGTCCCGTGAGCTTTAAGACTGTAGATCCCATAGGTGGCCCTGCTAAGCTCCACTTTTGAGCCTTATCCCCAGTGTGGTGATTGGAATTTGAACCTTGTAACGTTAAACTAGAACACATGGTCCATGAGAGTTGCACTGTTTTTTTTCCTCTACCTAATCATTGTCATATTCACAGGGTTGCAGAATTGAGACATAACAGGTGCTCAGGAAACATTTATAGATATAAGGACTTAGGAAACAATTTGAAATGATCTCAGCAACATAACTAACTCTTTATCTGGTATACAAAAAGAATTTTTCTTACTCATTTCACAATATTATGAGTAAAACACCCAACTGCACCCAACTGGCTGGCTGAGAAACAAGAAAGAAAGAGTTTTCTTTGCATTCTCATTCATATTTCAAGTTTTGCACCACATCAATATATCACCTAGATTTGTAAAGGGTGATTGTTGTTCAGTCACTAAGTTGTGTCTGACTCTTTGCGACCCCACATACTGCAGTACACCAGGCTTCCCTGTCTTTCACTATCTCTGGGAGTTTGCTCAAACTCACGTCCCTTGAGTCGGTGATGCTTATGTAATCATCTCATTTAAAAAGGCAAAAGGACCTCTTCAGGAAGAACTTAACAGAGTAGAATCTCATCTACTTAAGTCCATGGTACTTAGAATCACTTGTGATGCCCACAATGCTAAGGAAGCAGCCTCCCCCATCCCTTTCTCAGCAATTAGCTTTATGTTTTTGTGAGTGGGAGGCCCTAAAAAGATCTCAGAACATTTAAAGCTCAATAGAGATGGTGAGTGTCCAATCTTCTTTGTGAGTAACAGGCAGAGGCTAAACTCCTATCCCCAAGTTTCTGGGGAGAGAACAACTTGAAGGTGAAATCTCCATCAGAGTCAAGCCAGGGCTTAGGAAGTAAGGGCATGAGTCTTGGTCATGTACAGCCTAGGGAACCCTGAGATGCAAACAACTGCAAGAGTGAGTCATGCTGGGCAGGGCTATCTGGAGACATTCCAACTAAAGCAAAGCATCACAAGCACAAGAGTAGGGAAGGGCAGAGAGAGGAACTCGATCCCCATGCTCCTATTTCTTGTTACTCACCTATTGAAAAAGGCATAAAGGATTCCCTTTTCTTAAACTGTCCATTCTCCAGAAAATGCTCTGGATTGAAGGTGTCAGGGGTGGCCCACTCTGCGGGGTCTTTGTGCAGTGCAGTCAGGTTAGTCATGACCATGGTGCCCTGGAGAAGACAGAAGTGACTCATGCAAGACATCATTCAACACATGTGTGCAGAGGGGCGGCAGTCCCCCGGGCTCTCATGGCCTGGGGTCCAGGGCTGACAGCATCCTGAACTCCCTCAGCCTCCCCAGCTCACCACCTTCTGAGGCCAACCATGCTCTCTGCCACGGGACAGCTTACACTGGTGGACTGAAACTGTCTGCTGGGAACTTTATCAGGGAAGTGTGACTACTCGAGTGCAGAATGGATCTCTTCAGGCACTTGTCAGTGTAGAACTTGGGAGGGAAGGTGTATGCATCAGTAAGAGAATAATGTGACAGTGGGCAGGCAGTTCTGGGCCAAAATCAACCCAGTTGCTCAGTGACATGGCAGCTTCTCCAACATGAAAAGTGTATCATTCATCTAAGATTCTCCAACTCCCTTCCCTTCATTATCCAGCACATTCCACAGAAGATTTAATGATAGAATCAGGTCATCCAGTGGAAGGAACCACTGTCCTTCCCGGTACACAGCAAGTAACCCAGGAGTCCTCCTTAGTGTCTCCCTTTCCCTCATTCTGTTTGCATCCCATCCTTCAACCAGGCTGGTCAATTTTCCTTGAAATTCCTCTTGATTCTATCACCTCCATGTTATGTCCTCCACTTCCTGGTCCAAGGTACCACCTTGGCTGTCCACACTCCTACAGTAGGCCTAACTACAACTCTATATCCTCTCCCCCCTTCAAAGTGCTTTACACACAGAAGGCAGAGTTAGCTTTGGACATGATTTGGTTATGTCACTGCTATCCACCCACTACATCTGGCACTTGATGGATACACTCCAATATTTCCCAGCACTCCTATATTGAGGACACATCACCTGCCTTCTATCTGAGTCCCGGTCCTTCTGCCTGCACTCCCACTATATCAAGCCTCTTTCAGTTTCTCGGTCATACCACTTGTTCCCATACCTTTCTGCATGGTGGCCTCTGGGATCCTCACTAGACCTGCTGGTGCCAGGGTATTTGTCCCAGCCATGAGCCCTAGTTGCCCCTTGCCTCTGCAGGAGACCTTCCAATATTAGTAGGTAGGTCTGATCCAGTCTCTTATGAAGTCACTGCTATTTTTCCCTGGGTGCTAGTGTGCATATGACCCAAGAGTGGAGTTGATGTTCCTCTAGCGCTGTGGAAATCCTGCAACCAAAAGCTGCTGGCATTCAAAGCCAGATTCCTGGGGGCTCCTCCTCCTGTTGCCAGACTTCCAGGCTGGGAAGACTGCCTTGGAGCTCAGGATTTTCACTCTTGTGGGCAGAATTTCTATACTGTAATTGTTTTCCAGTTGCAAGTTCCCCACCCAGGGATTTCTTCTAGTCCTCACAGAATACCACATCAGAAAAAAAAATCTTGCAGAACCAGTCTGTTGAGCTCGGATGGTTCTCTGGAGCTAATTGAATTGCTATGAATATGTGAAGATCACCTGTAATATCATTTAGACCTCAGACTTCACCCATAAAATGGTCAATCAGCAAGAAACTAGTAAATGCAATCGCTGCAGGAATCACTGCTTCTCCTAGGGCTGCAGGGACCATGACCAAGGTGAGCCCAACGGGGCTCTTTTCTTCCAGTTTTGCCTTGAGATCAACACCAGGTTCAATACACAGAAGGACTCAGATTGGAATGGATCCACAGAAATAGACCAAGGTGGCGAGAAAGCAAGGTACTGTATATCTGCAGTGTCCAGGTGAGACACTATCCGGCAGAGGACAGCTGTTTGCTGAGATCCTAGGAGTGATGGGCAGAGAGAGAGCAGGACTGCCTTTGTGAGGAGAGGGAATTTAACAGGGCCCTGCTGAGAACAGCTGCAGGAAGACTCTTGGAAACAAGTCAAATGAAGCAACTCCGGTGCGAGAACATGGTGTAGTACAAAAAAGATGAACCTGGGCATCAGAATACTTCTAGTTCTTTAACCCAACTCTTCTTGGGATCTTTGTAGCCAAGGGATCTTATACAAGATCAAACAGCTCTGAGCCTTGAAGTAAATTCGTAAAATGAGAATGATTGAGAATTAAGACATTTTGAAAGAATCTGTATAGTTCATAGTACATAACCGCTCCTTAAAAAGCATTCATTAGTTCTCTCCTTTTGTGATATTTAATGTGCACAGACTTGTGCACTACCTCTTGTGAGGTAGTCCCATCAAGGGACTGTAAGTCAAGGCAATACCTGTGGGGATATTACCTTAGAAACATCTGTTTAATGTGATGGCCCAGGAGGTCTCAACTCTCCCTCATATTTTAACATTCTATAGCCCCAGGATTGTGAAGCAGAATTTTCCAAAAATAAATCTGGCAAGTCACTATCCTATCAGAAGCCCTCCCATGACAAAGAAAAGGACTTCATGGCAAAGGCTGACGGAGAATTGCTGCCTGCACAACACTCAGTAAAAAAATAAGAAATCTCACAGCAGAGAAAATTCAGCCTTTGCCTGAACGTGCTTGACGTAGGAATTTCTGTTCTCCTTCAGAACACCAATTACCATTGATTTGATAATGTTCTGAAGACCCCACATGAAGAAAAATATCCAGTATTAGGTCAGTAATTATATCTCTCTCTCCCCATTGAAGTGTTTCGCTAAGACAAGAAAACACGTCACTTGTCCAGGTGACAATCCCACCATTTAAAATATGAGCTTGGGGACCTGAGGCTACGAGTGGGGCCTTATTACCTTGGGCAGGTGGTATCCGGCCAGGGTGGTGTCCACTGCCACCTCCCGGGGCACGTTCAGAGGGATGATGTTCCCCATTCGCAGCACCTCGTGGATGACAGCGTTGGTGTAGGGCATGGACTCTCGCGCGGCTGTGCTTGGCTGTTGCGATTGGCCGAGCACCCTGTCAATCTCAGCTTGGACTTTTTCTGAAAAAAGCAGAGGTGGTTCTAGTATTCTGTTTTTCCATAACTCTCCTTGAGTCTGGTTGAGTTAAGGAATGAAATAACCAGCATCAAAATGACTATCTTAGGCTCTCCAGACTAGCTTCTCAGGGAGGTGTGAGAGTGGGAAGTGGGCCCTGGTGTGAGACAAATTAGGTGGAAAACTCTTGCTCAACAACATTCCTGCTGCGAGTTCCTAAAGCTGTGTGAGCCTCAGGTTCCTCTTATTAGTGAGGGTGAACCAACTTTCCCTTTAGGAACACTGAGACATAGATGAACTAATTTATGGAAGCATACTGACCTGGCCTAGGTCCATCCACTAATGAGCTCACCTTGGATTTCGGGGTTCAGGGCCATGTAGAGCAGCCCCCAGCGCAGGGTGGTTGAAGTTGTTTCTGTTCCAGCAAAGAAGAGGTCCAGGGTGTTGTAGATGAGGTTTTCTTCACAGAAACTTGAAGCAGCATCGCCCTTATGCTAGAAAATACAGTGATTATTGGTTTATCTAGATGGTTCTTAGTTGCCACAACATAGGAGGACTCATCCTAGTGAGAACAGGAGAGGAGAGATTCCCCTAAGAGAAATGACTTTTCCTTTGACCATCTCAGCAGGCAGAGGCTTATTATTGCAGTATCATTAGCATACTCCTGCCCCAAGTGTTGGAATCTCTTGTCACCTTGGATGGGTGAAATTTGAGACATCCTCTTTACTTCCACATTTTGGGAGAATCTATTATTTATTATTATAATAGTATATTATTATATTGGAAATATAATATTTGGGTTCCAATATTAGCCACACCATTCACTATGTGTATGACTTGACCAAGTTACTAAACCTTTCAAACTATGTTCAATACTTATCCCTCAATTGGCATGATGAACTATGTGAGATGGAAAGGTCATATAAGAAATCCTCAACAAATGTTTGTACTGTTATCATAAAGAATACAATGAATTTCTCTGAAGTACAACAGTTTTCATAATTTCCCATTAACATCCTCCTTTTTAGGTTAAAATTCCCTGATTCCAACAGCCATTCCTATGGCACTTCAGCATCTTCACCAGCTCCCTACAGAAGCTTCAAAGTGTCCGTGCTCCTCTGTGTGTGGTCGCACACCTGCCCACCTTATAACAAGCGAAATCTCCTCCTCTCAGGAGAAATCAATGCCTCTATTAATGGTATAACAGTAAAATGAAATAGGAGGCAGAGAAAAACGCACAATTATTTCAACTGCAAGAGTTGAAAATGAGTCAAAAATGACGACACTGATGCAGTGATGAGTATTAACCAGAGGGCTTACTATGTTAAAGGACATATCACCTATTTGGCCTTTTCCATGCATCTTACAAATAACATTTGAAAGTGCATGAAATAGGGAGGATGGAGGAAGGCAAAAGTCCTCCACTTGAGGCTCACCTTTGGCATCTGACTCATGTTCGCTTGTGCTCTGCACTGGGGAACTGGGAAAAGGGTAGTGGACTGGACTTTGGTACGGGTATTAATGAAACAATGCTTCTTTTTCATATTGTGTAAAGGTCTTTCATATATGGGCAGAGCATAAAGATTAGACTGAAAAGGCAGTATTTGGGCTTTCCTAAGACCTCAATTGAAGAAACTAGGGAAAACCACTAGACCATTCAGGTATGACCCAAATCAAATACCTTACGATTATACAGTGGAAGTGACAAATAGATTCAAGGGATTAGATCTGATAGAGTGCCTGAAGAATTATGGATGAGGTTCATGACATTGTATAGGAGGAGATGATCAAGAAAAGGAAATGCAAAAAGGCAAAACGGTTGTCTGAGGAAGCCTTACAAATAGCTGAGAAAATAAAAGAGGCTAAAGGCAAAGGAGAAAAGGAAAGATATATCCATCTGAGCACAGAGTTTCAAAGAACACCAAGGAGAGATAAGAAAGCCTTCCTAAGTGATCAGTGCAAAGAAATAGAGGAAAACAATAGAATGGGAAAGACTAGAGATCTCTTCAAGAAAATTAAAGATACCATGGGAACATTTCATGCAAAGATGGGCACAATAAAAGACAGAAATGATATGGACATAACAGAAGCAGAAGATATTAAGAGGAGGTGGCAAGAATACACAGAACTATACAAAAAAGATCTTCATGATCCAGATAACCATGATGGTGTGATCACTCACATAGAGCCAGACACCCTAGAATGTGAAGTCAAGTGGACCTTAGGAAGTATCACTAATGACAAAGCTAGTGGAGTGATGGAATTCCAGTTGAGCCATTTCATATCTTAAAAGATGCTGCTGCTAAAGTGCTGCACTCAATATGTCAGCAAATTTGGAAAACTCAGCCATGGTCATAGGACTGGAAAAGGTCAGTTCTCATTCCAGTCCCCAAGAAAGGCAATGCCAAAGAATGTCAAACTACTGCACAATTGCACTCATCTGACACACTAGCAAAGTAATGCTCAAAATTCTCTAAGCAAGGCTTCAACAGTATGTGAACCAAGAACTTCCAGATGTTCTTGAAAAGACAGAGGAACCAGAAATCAAATTGCCAACATCTGTTGGATCATCAAAAACACAAGAGAGACCATTCACACTGACTGCTTCTCCTGAGCAGATCAGCAAGACATGGGGTGCTTGTGAGGAGCTCGACGCAGCACTGTCCCACCCCAAGCTGGGAGCTGGCAGGGGACATCTGTGTGCTCCAATCCTTTACGGTTCTCTTTAAAGAAACCTCATGGAAGCTTGAGGAGGAGAATAAGATGGTGGAGGAGTAGGTGGACATGGAGTACATCTTTCTCCACAGATAATCAGGAATACACCTTCAGACACAGATGTGCATGCAGAACACCAGCTGAGAGTGAAAAGGAGTACATGACCAGCAGAAAAGAATATACAGAACCATGCAGAACTCAGTAGGATGAGGGAATGAAGGGGAAAAACAGGAGTGTCAGTAGGACTGGACCTGCTCTTGGCCGGCAGGGGAACTGAAGCAGGGGTCTGATCCCCACATTAGGGCAATTGTATGAGTCAGAGGAGAAACATTTAAGGCTGAGAGTGAAACAGCTGATCTGTGGCAGCCTAAATGGAATGAGAACCAGACAGTTCTTGCTGCAGCCATACATACCCTGGACAGGGACACAGGTCCCCTGGAAGGTGCAATGGTTGGGAGATGGAGTTTAGGGATTGTGGAGCAATCCCAGGGTGAGGGCTGCTGTTGATTACAGAGAGACAGATCAAGGGGATGTGAACAAAAAGATTGTGGTGGGAAATGCCTGTGGAGAAAACCTGGGCAGCCATGAAAGCAAAGCCATCACCATAGCCTCTCTCTTTCCTCACATACCAGCATCTGCAGCTGAACAATAGAGAGGCTGGCCCATCAAACGCCTGAGGCACTGAACTAGAGAGTAGGACCCCACCCAGGGTGCCCATTTAAGTGCCTGATGCGCAGATCTACAGAGTAGGACCCCAGACAGGGGGGCCCCTCTCTGTGCCTGACGTGCCCAACAACAGAAAAGGACTGCAGGCAAGGGGGCCCTCTAAGTCCTGAATGGGCAGAGCTACAGAGAAAGGCTGGCCAAAGAGGCCTTCTGAGCACCAGCTACAAGAGGCTTGAAAAAGACTCTGAGAGGGCCATAACTCCTGTGATGGAGGCAGTCCATGTCCCCACACACTTGGTGCTGCCAGGGTCCCCAGAAGCTGCGCCACCTTCACGCTCAGCTCTCACTGGGGCAGAGCTGCCACAGGCCAAAAAAAAAAAAAAAAAAAGTCTTGCATCTATGCAAACAGGATCACTTCATTCATGTCCAACTCTTTGTGACCCTGTAGACTGGCCTGGCAGGCTTCTCTGTTGGGGGGCTTCTCCTGGTAAGAATACTGAAGCACATTGGCCAATACTGGTTGTCATACCCTTCTAGAGGACTATATTTCCTGCTGCCCTAGCTGACAACTCCTCTGAGTACCTGGTGCTGCCAAAACCCCTGCTACCCAAGCAGCTGGACCACCTCTGCACTTGGCCCTCACAAGGGCAAATCCAAGTCCTCCAGGGTAGGCTCAGAAGCAAACCCCAGTGAATGATGGATGACCTACATGCAGAGGTGGAAATAAAACCACAATTGAAACCCAGGGGCAGTATGGCTAAGGAAGGAGACCCAAAATCTTCCCACCAACTGTACAAGCTACAGATTAAACCCACATGATTAACTAGGCAGACTCTGTGCCTATGGAATATGTAAAAGGACACTGAGAGCTCGCACAAAAGAAAATGCACTAGTTCTGTTAGCTGTGGACATTGGAGGGAAGAACACACAGGAGTAGGACCAGATTAGAATCTGAGCAGCCCCCACAGCAGGTCCAGAGATCAGCACAGTGTTGGAGGGCATCCTGCGGAGGTGAGGTGGACTGTGACTCCCAGCGAGGGAAAGGACTCTGACAGCAGTGATTCAGGAAAAACATTTATTATTCTTGTGTTTTGATTTGTTCTGTAGATTCTTTCGGATTTTCTTTCTTTTATTCCCCCTTTCTGTTGTAGTTGTTGATTTTATTGGAACTATGAAATCTAATTAAGCTTTTGAGCTTTTTTCCCCCTTAGTTACACTTTTTATTGATGTTATAAACCTCTGTGTCTATGTTGCGTTCTGTGGAGTTTTCCTTTTCAAAAATTTTCTTTTTAATTTTAATTTTTTACTTTTTAAACCTATTATTATTTTTCTATATTTATTCCTTTGTTTGATTTTCCTACTTTTCTTTTCCCCTTGCAGTTAATCTTTAATGTATATAAATCTTCTTTATCTACCTCTATTTAACTTTGCATATCTATTCTTTCTTTCTTTACTTCCTTTCCTTTCCTCTCAATATATTTGTTAGTTTTATTTTCATTGCTTTATTCCCCAGTTGGCACTTTGCTTTTGTTTTGTTTTACAGTTTGTGCTTTAGATAGTTTTATTCTTAACTGGTAGATATAATTTTTGGTTTCCTTTGTTCGCTGGGTTAATCTATTGTACTTTATTTTTGTTGGACTGTTTTGATTTTGCTTATGGGTGTGTGTTTGTGTGTGTGTGTGTGTGTGTGTGTGTATATTCAGTGGCACTTTTTATTGCTGTTATACACCTCTGCCTCTATATTGGGCTTTTACAGTTCTGTGGAGTTTTCCTTTTTCTTTCTTCTTCTTTTTTTTAATCTTCTTTTTTTTCTTTTCTCTTTTTTATAATTTTAATTTTCAATTTTTTAAACCTACTATATATTTTTCTACATTTATTCCTTGGTTTGCCTTTCCTACTCTTCTTCCCTTTTGCAGTTAATCTTTAATGTATATAAATCTTCTGCATCCATGTCTATTTAACTTTGCATATCTATTCTTTCTTTCTTTACTTTTCTCTCAACATATTTGTTAGTTTTGCTTTCATTGCTTTATTTGCACCTTGATTTAGTTTTGTTTTCCAGTTTGTGCTTTAGTTAGTTTTGTTCTTAACTGGTAAATATAATTTTTTATTA